ATATCTCTTTATGCTATGTATAAATAATAACAATTGCTGTCCGGGGAGCAACGCACCATAATAGTATCAAGAAAATACATATAGACTCACGTATATGGCGCACAATTTGGCAGTCTAGCCCAAAAACTGAATCATACGCCAAAAACTAAGGGTAAACAATAATTATATATATTTTATATATGTATGTTTGTGAAGAATTCTCATAAAATAAATATAGACAGAATGAACAACAAACTATGGCAAATTCCTAACTGATCTGAAGGGTATATTGCTTTTATGCAAATATGTAGCATGCTTGATATATATGTATATATATTTGTAAAACATTATAATATATATATTCTTGTATAAATCATTAGAGTTTTCCATAAATATTCTCTCCATATTTCAACTACTCAGTGAATTCGATGCTTGCTAAACGAACGCTCATAGAGAGTTCAAAAAGGCTCAACATACTCTTCTCATATTTTGAGTGACCTTTTCCTAGGTATAAAAGGCGCGTCAGTTGCCGCATCGAATCAGTCACGATCCTGACCTGGACCGGGTCAGTTTTAATACAGTGAAGCGGAGTGACGTAGTTTAGTTATTTACTTAGTTAAGTTAAGCTTTTTTGTTAATAACAAATGTTCTTGTTTAATATTCGATTGTATTTAAATATATTTTATAAATAAATGTTATTTGTTTAATATTATAATATTGAAATGTAAATTTTTTTTTATAGAGTTAATGGTATTATCATTTTTATGTTATAAATGTATGTCGATACATAAAATGTTAAAGTACAAAATCTGACCGTTAGTGTTAAAACGTATGATCTTGTAGAGAAGAGCATTTAAATTGTGATTTTGTGATTTACTCTTCCTTGAGTACAAAAGACTTATACAACATATCTTACTCTCACACAGTACAAACAGGGTATTTAAGTGGCACACAACAACGAAGAACGTCATTAGCACTTCTCTTTCTTACCATATTTCACACAGTTTATATATGTACATATGTATGCTCAGATCAATTTTCTGCCTGCCTGCAAGCGATTTTAAATGAAAAATCACTGTAAAATTAAGTTTCACCGTTAACGGTTCCATACGCTCGTACCAAATATTGACCTAGTCAACGAAATCTGAATCACCTTAACGATGGCAACGAACTTTTTTCATATATGCACATACATGCAAACATATGTATATTTTCCATATTTGCAAAAGTTCATCCGATCACTCTGAGCGTTGCAAAGTTTGCAAAAAAGCTTTCGCGTGCACAAAGCTCTGAAGCAAAGCTTTTAAAGAGCGTAAGCTAAGAGTAACTTTGCAAGGTATTTCTCTTTGTTAAGTTTTTGTTTGTTTCTGTTTTTGTTTTCGACATTGAGTTGTGGTTTTTGTTGCAGTAACATTCATTTGTAAAGAAATACTTAACCTTATGCCCTGAAGGTTTTCAATTGTAAAACAAGAAAGTTGAGCCTGGTTCAAATGTATATTATATAGGTTACAAATAAATATAATATATATGTACATATATGTATGTGTATAAGTATGTGTCATAAAGAATAACCTTTGTTAAGTGCTAAGCAATTAAACCAGGCTAACAACAACGACAATAAAATGCAATTATATGCAATCGGTTAACAGCTGCTGCGGCTGGTTGTAAAATGCTGTTTGCCATTTGCCACGCCTATTTCGCCAGCAATTGCAGCGCGTGTAAATAAATTCTTAATAATACTGAGAAAACAACAACAATATATTATAAACAAAGACAATTTGTTTACGTGCAGTTTATTTTGTTGTCGTCATCGAAACAGCTTTGTTTGTTTTTTTTTTTTT